GCGGGGGGCCGGAACCCCCCCGCCCCCCCCCCCCCCCCAGGGGGGGGGGGCGGGGGCAAGGGAAGGGACCCCACCCGGGGAACCCCGCCCCCAACCGCGCCGGGGCGGGGGCGGGGGCCCCCGGGGGGGGAAGGGGGGAAGCCCACGCGCCCGGCCACCCCGGGCAGCGGGGGGGGCGAAGGGCGGGGGAGGGCAGGGGGCCCGGCGGGGGGGGGGGGCCCCGGGGGGGGGGCCAGGGGGCCAACCAGGGGGGGGGGGGGGGGCTACGGAGGGCAGAGAGCGGGGGGCAGAGAAACATGGAAGGGGTGATGGGGGGGAATGTCGAAAGGGAGGGAGACAGAGCAGGAGGGGCGTCAGCGCTGGTTCTTTGACTAGAAAAGACAAGAGACAAGGAGTATTGTAGCTCTTGGCTCTCGTTTGTCGTCATCGGGTATTCCTCCCATTCGAGACACAAAACCTCACCGCCCAGCCCACATCCCAAACAACAAACCCTCAGGGCATCCTAGCAAACGCCGCCGCCTACCTGAACGTCGACTCGGCCGTGAGCGGACACATCCTGAGGGTCAAGGCCACGCCATCTCTTGGAGGTCTTGTTAAGGGCGTCCTAACCGACGTCCAAGACCCAGACTCCGGAGGGAGCCTTCTGGACGCGTGGTCGGGAGACTTGCAGATGCTGGGCTCGGGGTCTGACTACGCCGGTGAGGGGGCGGATGCGGAAAGCGGGAGGTTTTGGCGTGAGGTGTTGTAGAAGGGGGAGAGGGGGGGGGGGGTACTCATTGCCGCGCATGCCGTAGTCGGTTCGTCCATTGACCTTGGATCCCGATAAGGCTGGGACGGAGCACGCCGGGTTCTAATCCCACCAGGCTCTTACATCACCAAGCGCGAAGCGCCGTGAGGCGTTCGGCGAGTCGGGACGGAGGGAGGGGGGGTGGAGGTGGGGGGATGTACGGAGTTGGTGCTTCGAGACGACACATAAGAGGCAGAGTGAGGAAGACGACGACAAAAGCGGGTCAGTGCGAAAGTGTTCTTGTTTCTCCCGCCACCCAGCACAAGCTTGTGGCAGCAGCCGAGCAGGGCAGTCCCGGAGAGACGTGCAGTGGAAGCTCTCACAAGCAAGGGCCAAGACAGAATCATCGGATCGATCGAACCCGGCCCACTTTTCTTGAAATTTTTTTGTGCCCGAACCTTGCCGCGTACTGTAATATTCATCGCCGCGGGCGACTAGAGTATGTTTTTGGCGATGTCCTAGTCGCCCAACACGACTCGTGCCTAACTTCGCTTTTCGCCCTCCCAGTGTTTCTGGCTCACCTGGGCATCGCTACCGTGGACTTCGAGTTCCAGCAGGACGAAGCGGCGGAATACGGAGTCTGTGAGTGGAAGATTGTGGCAGAGGTGGAGTGCGTATAATAGTGGTGGCGGGAAGTCGGCTATTCATTTTGTCCCCAGCGCGTTGACCCGCTTCGTGTATCTCCGTACCTTAATGGCTCTCCCGAGGTCCACATAAGCCATGGTGGTGGACGGCAGAGAAACACGAAGCTACGGCAAAAAGACGCCAGGGATGACGCAAATGACGCGGGTTGCCGTGACACCATCAGAGTGGACAGCCGTCCTATCTGTGTTTGAAAAACAATCACAGACTAACCGTTTCAGAGGCAACCCCTTGACGTCCTTAGAGCGATAGTCAAGAAAAACGTGCCGGACTCATTTGAGTCTGTATTAGCCTATACACGGAAACATCTACGGTTTTCTCCCTTGGTGTCAGAACCATGGCTACATTGTACATAATATCCACTCTCCTTGTCGTACTCCCGTCCGCCTAACCCGCCCCCCAGACCATTCCATCTACGACAGCTTCAGCTGGGTGGACAACTACGGCGACCCGGGTTTCCGCTACTTCCAGGCGGCGTCGCGCGTGTGGGGGCTGCTGGCCCTCCGCCTGGCCACCTCCGACGTCCTCCCTTTCGACCCGCCCCTCCAAGCGGCCGCCCTCCAAGACTACGTCAACGCCCTGTCTCCCAGAGCCAGCAGCAGTAGCAGCGGCAGTAGCGACGAAGATGCTGGGAACGTCGGGGGCTCCCTTGTCCTTTCGGAGACGGACCTGGTCCCGCTAAAGGACGCGGTGGAGGCCTTCCGTGCGGCCGCGGACAAGGTTGGGTCGTGGTCGCAGGAGGCGTTTTCCTCTTCCGGGGCCGCCGGTGGCGTGGTGGCGGAGCCGGGGGGGGGGGGGACCCTCGGCAACGGCGGCCG